ATTGGGGTGACCGAGGGGGGAGTTGGGGCGAGCTATGTGGAACCTTCTCAGTTCCCTCATTTCTCCTTTCAGGTGTGGATAAGCTTTGCACAGTTTGAGGCATCAACAGGAACAGATGAAAGCATGGAACAAGCAAGGTTTGTTGATGAAAAAAATTGTAATTCGTCTTGACTTGTGCAAAGTATAGGGTGCATCGTCGCTATTCAGTTATTTGGAGTTGTTTAAGTGATAACACTGTCAACCTTATTGCCTACCGTGAATCAGTACCGGGTGAACGTAAATGTCGGCTGTGTTTAGCAGACGTCCGTGGGGGAGAAATGAATGAGTGACAAACGAACCCCAAAGGACGTCTGCGGGGAGGCTAGGTATAAAAGGCTGAATGATTAAATTTTCAGACTGCATGCCTCGTGGTGGAGCAGAGCAGGGGTTTTTGAAATCTTTAGCCTGGTTTTCGTACAATCGTCAGTGGCCTGGGTTGCTCGCTCGAAATATGATTAGCTTAAGTCCAGGGTTAGTTACCCTGGCAACTAAGATCGGGCTGTTAGTTAATCCTAGGTTAGAGTTAACCGAACTTCAAACAACTCGGCCCTAATCGTCTCGATCTTCTGAATCGTCCCAGAGATCGTTGGAACGATCCAGCGATGCCGAGGTTTTCCATTTAATCTTCTTGCCCGCCAGCGGAGATCAGAAGCGCGCGCTTTGCCAGTCATTCTTGAAATTATGTGTCTAGTTCTTCAAGAGCTATAATCTTTTCCTGAATCCTTTTATTTTCTTCAGGAGTGTTTATGAACGCGCTGACAAGTCGCTTAGAAATGTAGAAGAAAAAGAAGAGCGGGTCATGCTGTTAGAAGCGTGGAAAGAGTTCGAGGTATTTCATCTTTGTCGTATGCCCATGTGCCCCCTATTGCCTCTCTCGCGCGCCTCTCACGTTCGCGCGCGTCTAACCTTTTGTTTCAAGCGCCTGTCAAGCTCCCTCCCACGCAGGACTATCGGTCGTTTCGATACAAGTTTATTCAGTCAACTTGTAAATTGTTTCACGTACTTGACTTAAGGAACGAAGAATATTCACCCAAAACGTTTTCCTGTTCACACGCAAACTATACTTGAAGTGATCGAAATTTTTGAGCAGTTTCAGCGCTCGAGTTTGTATCGAAACGACCGCGGTACTAAGACGAAGCCATACTGAGTCGGTGTGACACTGGCGTCTTTATTTAAGTCAAATGCTGTCTTGTTGTTTCAGACTGAACACGGAAACGACACATCACAAGAAAGAATTAAGAAGAAGATGCCTCGGCGAGTAAAGAAACGAAGGAAAGTCCAAACAGACGACGGGGTAGGGGATATAGTTTCATTTCAATTTGCTTGTCTTTTTGCTGTGCTTGTTTTTCACTAGCCCTCGAGCAAGCTGTCCATTTCGAGTGGCGAGAGAAGCGAACCGCGAGAAATCGCGCGCTCTCGCGTGACTTCTCGCAAGATGGGGAGCTTGCTCGCAGGCTAATTTCCACACGGTTCTTTGTTGCTCAGCCCCTTCCGGTCTCCACAAATTTATTGGACGATTGAGCTAAATAAGCTCTTTTAATTTCGTCAGAGGATACTCCTCATCGTTTGAAAGATACCGGATACCGAACGACCACCTTCTTTTGAGGAGTAAACTTTCTCTCTGTTTCGTTTGCAGTCTGACGCCGGCTGGGAAGAATACTACGACTATATTTTCCCCGACGACGAGGCAAGCATGCCGAACTTTAAACTTCTCCAAATGGCTAGGCTTTGGAAAAAGCAAAAGGAAGCACAAAATGAACAGTAACAGTAGCCGCTACTTTGTACAAAACGGTCAGCGTTTCGATAATAAAACTCAGTTATATATGGAAGGGAAATAACCCATGCTTCATTCGTTCAATGTTGTTTTTCGTTTATCGAACGTGGTAAATTAATGAAAATGTTGAGTTTGTAGCTAAGTAGTGGTGGCCTCAGGCATTTCTCCTTTGTTTAAGTTGCGAGAATTCATCGCAATACAAACGCAGGAATGTTTTGCTAAATAACAAGAAAAACAAATTCAACTGCAAAATATCAGTTAACTTTTTAAACGCACGTGCGGGATTCTGCCCCGTTGGCACGTGCAGCATGGTTTTTTTTGCGCACGTGCAAACAAGTTGTTTTGCTGTAAATAAAACTTTCCCAAATGTTTTCAATACTGGTTGAAAAGGAAGAATAACTTCATTAATTTGAGCTGCGGCATCAGTTTCCTGGACAAGTCGGCAAAATTAACTCTTGGATGATTCAACCGTCTCTTCTCTCAACGGACAAATATAAAATTTTAAATGGTGTGAAAAAATAACCAACCTTTATGTAAAAACAAAAGCAGTTTAATTCACTACTGGATTGGTTTCCTTTTTAAAGTTACCCATAATTAATAACATAATCATTGTTTCTTAGAAACCTGTAAATTGCAAAGTACCTTTCATTTTTCATGACTTTAAAAAGTCTCAATTGATATTTCTTCTGGTGACATACTAATATAATTAATTTAAATATGTATTTTCGGATTAACCTTTTTATATATTACAGTATTTTAAAAATAATCTGCCTACAACTTTAAGTCTTTCTCAGTACAACGTAACTGTGAGCAGTAAACATCTCTTTCTATAGTATATGATCCTGTAAACTCTCACCTTACTTTCTACTCTTTCAAATAAAAAATAAATAACTAGATTTACATCTGTAAATATAATTTCTTTGACTCAATCAAAAGCGTCTTTGCCCCTCTCTGATTTTACTTAATAAATATATTAATACTGTCTACTGTAGTAAATTGAAACTCAAAGTTAGTCCGCTTGCAGGCTAACATGAATCTGCAAGATTTTTATGCGAGTCTATCGAAACGACGGCCTAAAGCGCGTGTAAACAAGTTCGTCTCGCACTTTTCGTGGAGAACCGACTGTTTTGCTGTCTTGGGTGCATAAAATCTGGAGACATGTAATCCTCGTCGTTAAACTCTGTTGGAGAACAACTTCTTTGTTCCTGAATCGCTATTTTCGAAGAAAGAATAGGCGAGTTCCCAGACTCATGTCTGTCTGTGTGGCACCTTCGGTTGGAGTGTCATGTTACATTTAAGACAGGTGAAAAGTCCTGGCGCTAAGTGTTCAAAAGATGGATATCGCTATCCACCTTTTGATCAATCGGGGCCTGGGGCTCGTTTCTCTAAAGTCCCGATAATTAACGGGCCCGGTAAGCTGTCTCCGTTTACATTAAAGATCGAGGTTTCAATAGTTTTGCATCTACCACGATAAAACTGACAGTTAATGAAACAAAATGGAGTAGTTTGCTAGCCAGGACCCGTGCTCTTATTCTTTATATTTCGATTTGAATATTTGATTTCGGGCCCGTAAAGTTACCGGGACTTTCGAGAAACGGGCCCCTGGCCCCAGTTGTTCAAAAATTAGATAGCGCCATCCACTGGACAAATCACTATCCAACGGATAAGTCTTAGGGAAACCAATTGCGTTATCCAGTGGATAGTGATTTATCCGGTGGATAAGGCTATCCTCCTTTTGATTAATCGGGGCCTGGATAACAAACAAAGTGATATCAGATAGCAGCGACGCCAAGAAAAAGCAGCAATTAAGCTACGTTCACACGGTACAGGTCGAATTTACGACCGATTGAAAGTCCCTGCGTTCACACGGAACCACGCTAACCGTACGAAAGTTAGACGCCTAGCCGTTAAAATTTCCGTGTGAACGAAGCGAAAATATTGAACAGTCCCGTGTGAAGAAAGCGTTTGATTGAATTTTAAAGCCGGCAGAAAACTCGTCTGGCGCCGTGTGAATGAAGCATTAAGAGCTGTTTGATGTTGGAGGTAGACTGGTTGATGTCCTGCTGGTGGCTCACCAGTATCCAAGGATAGTCGCGCGAGTAGCCACAGAGCGCGCGAGACAATCGGCTCCAGTGGGATTTTCGCGTGAGCTCGCCCAGACACCCGCACGACCATCCTTAGTAGCTACATGACCGTAGCCGATTTGGCTTACACCCTGTTTGTCCTTGAATGGGTCGCTGATTACACCACTGGTGAAACTCTGGCGTGAGACTGCAAATAGGAGAGTGGTAAGATACATTTAACTTGATACTTACTGACTGAAATTTTCAACTAATTNCGCGAGTAGCCACAGAGCGCGCGAGACAATCGGCTCCAGTGGGATTTTCGCGTGAGCTCGCCCAGACACCCGCACGACCATCCTTAGTAGCTACATGACCGTAGCCGATTTGGCTTACACCCTGTTTGTCCTTGAATGGGTCGCTGATTACACCACTGGTGAAACTCTGGCGTGAGACTGCAAATAGGAGAGTGGTAAGATACATTTAACTTGATACTTACTGACTGAAATTTTCAACTAATTTTGGTATAGAGTATTGTTACATGACGCCACGGCGGCCATATTGGTGTCCCAAAACAATGAAACGACGGCCATGTTGGTGTTCCAAACCAATCCTGTGGGAGTTAAACTCTTTTCTTACGCAAACGCTTTCTTTTGTTCCAATGAATTTGAATAGATGCTGGCCACGTGAGTGAAAACACTCTATAGGCTTTCTTGATACTGTATACATGTAAGCCACTACATAAACCCATATTCAAGGGAGTCATGGTATTGCTGTGACTCGGGACGCGGGCACGTGCTCTCTTGGACTAATTAGGGAGCTCAAAAGTAACAACGACGGCACGGCGACGGAGACGAAAACGTCACTAGAAAAGTGAATTCGCGCTGTTTCAAACTTTATCGCGCTTATTGCATCTCCTTTAATTCGTCAAATGTTGGCACACGTTTTTGAAATTTAATTCTAAAGGACTGTATCAAAGCTCAGGAAAAGAAAAAGAGGGTTGTTGTCTTGTGTTCCCGTCCTCGAAAACACGTGAAATTAGGCACTTTCACGTTGTAATCGTCATGGGCAACGACGGCTAAGAAAAGTACAAAAAAGCGTGATACACGTACAAAGTTGTTGTTTTGCTAATCTAAACCTATTGCTTTTTTGTCGTTCTCGTTGCCGTCGCCGTTGCTTAAGCTCCTTATTAATGCGTTTAAATTAATATTACGTACCCCAAGCAGATTTCTTGGTATGTACCCAGTCTCTCCCGTCATATTCTCGGCCCACCACCATTCCCTCTCGGTCGCGTCTCCTCGTTTCAGTACCATTAGTTCTTCACCGCACTCAAAGCTTAATTCATCTTGCTCGTCAGCTGCGTACGAATACAGCGCACGAACGCGACCGTTGTTATTGATACCAAAGTTTTCTTGCAGATCTGGATAAGACAGAAAGAATGATTTGGAAAGTACGTCAAACATTGTAGCCTCAAATAAGGGCGTTCTTAAACAATAAGATCCGTCACTTCATCCCCGCTCTGGAATGAACGAGAAAGTAGAATTGGATGACCTTACGTAAGTCGGTGGTTCAAGAAATAAGGTATGTGTAAGATTGAAATCTTGAAAGATCAATTTTCTACATCTCATATCTTGAAATTTCAATATTTTGCCGGTTAAATCTTGAAACTTCAAACTTTGGCATGTCAAGTATTTGGCTCTTCGGGCCTCAGTTTGGTGTAAAAATAAGGCGGGAGGAGGGGGGTACCGGGCCCCCTGGGCCCCTTCCCTGGATCCGCCACTGGGTTTTCCCTGACTGGTCCCAGTCAAACGTTGAAAACCCACGTCAACATAGCTGAACACAATACTCTATCATGCTTACCGTTCAAGTATGAAATGCAGTTTAAGTACCCCGGCTGACCACGCTCACAACACTGAAGAGGTGTTTTCTTTTCCAGCGAGGTGACGGCTAGAATACAGGCTCCATGTTCAACAAGGAAGCGCACAATGTCTGTAGCATTATTTGCGGCTGCGCAGTGCAGAGCGGTCCTGCGGGTAAAAAAGGGGGATCAATTTAGGTTTCCGGAAAACTGCCTACTACCTACCCCTACCCCAAGCCAACATTAACACTCACTTCTCACTTAAGGTAAAATGTTGCTATAGGGGAGGGGTAGATGGACATTTTCCCAGAAACTTAACTTGTTAATACTTTGAGTATCAGGCCTTCCTTAGGGGATAGGGAAGAGGAGATTTTAGAGGGTAGGGGGAAGGGAAGGGTTGCTCTGTCTCCTTTTCGCTCCTCTCTTTGCCCCTTCCCCCAGAAATGCCTGATACTCAGCTAATTCCCTCCCAGAGACAATTATGCCAGCCATGTTGTTCTAACGTTTTTGGTCCGTGAATGAAATCCTGTGGCATTACTATTTACATGAAAGTTACTGAGCAGTACGCCGAAGTTTGGTTCTAAATTTTGAGTGTATCGATGCATTTGAAAAGAAACACCATTTCATGCCCAAATTGAGGTTACTGTACCATCCTATGGTACTATTTATTATGCTCTACAAGGTGGTTCTAACATTTGAGTCTGGGGATGAAATCCTATGGTGTGACCATTCAAATGAAAGCTACTGAGCAGTACTTTTCTATGGAACTGTTTATCATCCTGTACAAGGTGGTTCCAACTTTTGAGTCTGTGGGTGAAATCCTAAAGTGTGACCATTCCGAGCTAAAGAGTTAAGCTTTCACATACCACCCATGTGAATCCTGAGAGTTGATATCACAACCGTATTGCACGAGAAATTTCACCACTTGGTCGTGACCTGCGCAGACAGCATTGTGCAGAGCTGTTATTCCGTCGCTGTTGGGCTTACTGGGGTCATCCACCTTTGTAAATAAACAGAACGTAACAAGGACTTCTTAGAACTGCAAGAAGTGGTGGGGACAGTGGCTTAATCCGCCAGCAAGCTCTCTATTTGGAAAATAACACAAAAGTCACGCGCAAGCAGCGAGCAGCACGCGAAAAGAGACGCTAGGACGAGGAGTGCGTCCGTTCTCGGCTTGCTTCGCTCACCACTTCAAATGGAGGGCTCGCTTGCAGGGTAACAATGGCGGGGAGAAATTACCAACGAATGCTAAAGTGTTCTAGAATTGTCAGGCAACGAGGATGGAGAGAAATAAGCAACAAATTCCTGGCATAGTCTAGAAGGGCTGTAATGGAACTTACCGGGAGGATGTGCCTGAGCATTCCCCCGGAGAAAATGAAGCGGTGGGTCGACAGAAGGAAGAGGAAGCCCCCACCGGGATGTCTAGTCTTGGGGAAGGGGGGAATTACTATCCGGCAAAGGAGCATCTACCCAGTGAAAGGGCTGGTGAGGTTTTAAGTAATGGCTCTGAAGGAGCGTCTATTCATTAAGTCCTAACAATATTCGATCAGTGGGAAGCTAGTTAGCATGGTTTCGTCAAACTGAAAAAATAGAAATAGTGCTTTTTAGTTTCCTCAGTTACTTCACAACCAATTTTGACACAAAGTAAATTCCTCACCCCTTCAACAATTTGCTTGACTAGTTCCAGCTCCCCCTCAACCGCCGCATCTAAAAGCACTGCATGTGGATCGAGGCTGACGTGCCGCGCCTTCTTTTTTCTATCCGCCTTTTGCAAATTCCCTTGATTCTCCTCAGAGAATTCTTTTACAGATTCGCTTTCCTTGGAGAATACTTCGTACCTTGGTGCAGTGTCTTCAGTTGTCTTTGATACCAACGGGTTTATGTCTGGTGGCTGGTCTGATATGGGGGGATAACTTGACTGACTGATAGGTGCTAAACCGGTATCTTTGTTTAAAACTGCAGGTTTTAACATACTATCACTAGGAAGCTGGTCTGACACAGATTTGATTGCCTGCCTCAAATACGCAACTGCATCTCTCCCACCCGAACTATTGGCTTCTGCATCGTCTGCTGCCTTTCCTGGCGAATATTTTTTTGTTAAAACCTCTTCTGTTTTCCCTCTTATTTCCGAGTCATTGTCCACAAGAATTCCTTCCACGGGTTCAACACCATTGCTTTTTTCACCCAATATGAACGAACTCTTTAATGCAGCCTTTTCCTTCTGAACAGTCGAGGCTTTGTTTTCATCTGCAGCTTGATTTTGCACCAACCTAACTTGCCTAGCCTTCACCTTATCGGTGTTTTTATTTAACACCGTCCTGGAATAAGCTTCGATTTTTAACGATTTGCCACTTCCCGAATTCAGATTGTCCGTTACCAAGCGCGGTCGATCGCTTTCGGAATTTAACCCGCCATTTCCAGATAACGGCCTCCCATTTTCAACATTTACTCGATCATTTTCGGAACCAAGCCAGCCGCTACTGGGGTTCATTTTTCTGGGATTGACAACGTTCGATGCAGTATTTAACAGTCCGGATGATTTGGCGATCGATTCGCTACTTTGCTGTGAACGTGTTGCCTCCTCTTTTGTCTCCGCAGCTCTAAGACTTCGGCTTGAAAGCCGTATGTTCAAGGATGAAACAACTTGTTTCACATCGTTAGACCATGCAAGATTTCTTGGTTTTTGCCCATGATGAGTTTTGCTCGTTTCCTCGGAACAAAGATCTGTTTTATCATTGTCTATCCAGCCGTTTGAAGCTGCAATTTCTTTTTCACCGTTATTGACCTGATCGATCTCCTTATCGGGACCGTTGCTCATCGGCAACTCTTTAACTTCGGGATAACTAGGACCAGTGTCTCGGTTCATAAAAGCTGGTCGTTTGCTCGTCGGAACTGGCGAACGCATCTCGGGAACATCCGTGGCTTTCGAAGAGAAAAACGAGGCAGATGGGGTAACTGTTATCCTTGTGAGAGAAGATTGGCCACGAACGGACACCGAGTTGGACATGACCGGAACGAGGTGGGATTGATTAGCCGCAGTGACATCACCTTGCTGCTCGGCAGCTAGTTTCTTTGCTCGATAGGATATCGGTTTTAAAGTCAAAGGAACAAGCTGTGATTGACCAAAACTAGGCTTAACATGAGTATCTTTATCAGGGACCTTTACGTTATCGGTCTCGTCTTTTTCGTCTCCGAGCCTGTGAAGTAATTTATCTGCATTTGACGGTGTGGACCTTGCAGAGGACACTACTTCCTCTCCGTTCGGAATAAAACCGTCCATACTAGGAGAATAAAATAGCACATTCGATTCAGACGGGTTCATTTCAGTTTTTTCCATGTTGTCCTGCACTGTAAGTTCTATCTTTTCCCTTGACTCTCCAATAGGTGTGGTCAAATCCACTGAAGGCAAACTAGAAGAAAATAAAACGTCTCCTGTTTGGGTAGGACTATTTGTGCTACCAGAATTACGCGGCAATCTCGGCGAAGAAGTGTTTTGTTCATCTTTCAGCAGGTTATTCTTGGAGGAAAACTGAGCCTTACGTTTTGACTCCCCAGACGTCGTTATCATATTTTGGGATCCCTCACTAGATGAGAATATCACTTCTTCACCTGTCTGAACAACGCATTTTGCTGGCAGCCTCGATGGACGTATATTCTGTTCAGCTTTTCGCATCTTGTTCTCTATTGAAAACACAGCGCCTTTCTTTGTGTGTCTCAATGGTACTGTTACATTTGATGAACCAGGACCAGACAAAGTCACCACTTCTTTTTTCTGAATAAAGCTTGGCGCGCTAACAGGCTGCGGTAACTTTGAAGTAGATGCGCTAAGTTCGTTCTTCTGAAGAGAACCAATTGTGCCAGAAGCATCTTGTGACAATCTCGATGCGTTGGTATTTATGTAAGTTTCCTTTCTGTCACCGTTCAATAAAGACTCAGTTTTACAGTGCTCTTTCGCGGATTGATCTTCATCGTCTCTTTTCAACATGGTTGGTGATACCCCAATAATGTCCTGGTTTAATTGATCTGCAGAAACATTCTGATACCGAAGTCTAGATAACTGTATCTTGCCAGTCTTAACCGTATCCTTTATTGGTGTTACGTGCTTCGAGGTAGGTTCTTTCACATAATTACTTTGACAACCATCATCACTATTATCACCATGGTTACTTCTGGTTACATCACGAAATTTACCTGTTTTGCCGTCATGTTTAAATTTGGTCCGAGCTCTTGAGAAATCCAGCACCGTTGGCTGTACAATAGAATCCACATTTTCGTTTCTGGTGGGTAACCCGTCTGTCTTAACTTGATGAAGAGGAAGTAACTCGCTGCCTGATGTGCCTCTCGCATCTAAACCTTCGCGACTACCCTCTGAGGGCCCGACTTGTAACGACTCCAGATTTTCAGCTTTGTGAGGTTCTTGACAATCTTCTAAAGGCGACGCACGGCCATCCAAGTTCGCGTTTTCGTATTTCACTAGCCCGTGAGCGTCTGTAGATTTCTCGGCTTTCTTTACAACGCCGGTAAGTGCAAACATGGCGGCCTTAGGAGAAGCGGAATTGGAAGAGGCGGACGAGAAGGAGGAGAGCGATGATGGTGAGCTTAGCCCGGATGTGTCTCCCTCGTCACTGGGCGTGGTCCGCCCTGAATTCAGCGATGGCGTTTCAGATTGAAAATCGAGTTCACTTGAAATGTTTTTCATATCTAATGAATGCGTAGCTACAGTCGAGCTCTGTTGGCGATTATCGCGTTTGGTCTTTGAATCTTTGTCATATGGCTTCGTTTCAAAGCGCGAATTACTCAAGAACTCCTTTACATAGTTATCATATCCAGGTCTTTCAGGGGAAGGTGATTCGGGTGTCTCGACTCCTTCCGGGTCCACGCGCCGCGGGGAGTTATTTAAAATCTTCCCAGGTGTAAAATTGTCTTTCGTAAAATTAGTCTGTCCATTTAATAGCCTATCGGCTGCCCTACGATGCTCTCCACGGTTTTCAACGGCGTTCGCCTCGAAGCGTGACTTGAGCGCGGTCACGCGTGACACACTTGGCGGCCCAGGCCCCTCAGTAAGATCCTCAGTCGAAGACTTGCTACTTGCGTGACCATCTGAGATTTCCTCTTCAACTTCAAGTAACGTTTCTAGCTTGCTGGAGGTTCGAGAACGGGGCCGAAAGGAGCTAGACACGACTGGGGCACTTGCGTTGGAATCCACAGCGTCACTTTTGTTCGTCCTTTTCGCAAAGTTAGGAAGGTGACTATAATCCATTTCCACGAAGTCCAACTCCCCTGGAGGGGATGGTAAGGAGGAGCTTTTGTCATGGTTATGGTTAATGAAATTGTTTCGCGACTTTTTCTGCCTCAACTCTTCCGTGTAATGGTCAATTTGAGCATCGAGCTCGAACAGTTCCTTGTGCTTTTCGGCCAGAAGTTGTTTTTGTGCCTGGATCTGAACGCTTTGTTGGTGATTCAACTCATTCCGGGTCTACAAATGAAGAGAAAAAACTACCCGATTAAGATAAAATAAAGCATAAGCAACAGTAAAAATGACTCACAGAAGTTTGTGCGATAAGTAGGTCGACCTTGATCGTCCGGATGATCGTAGTCCTGAATAGGACTATTGCTGACAGCGACTGACGTTTCAACAACCTGTGCGGTAGTCATCTTCTAAGTCAAAGTGAGTTGTATCTTTGAAGTTGATAGTATTAAACTCTGCTTATTGACCTGATTGGTTGTCTGTTAGTTAAGCCGTGACGCTGACGCTATTGATTATGAAGACTCTGACTGTCATTGGTGCGTTCACGTGGATAAAACAGAAACTAAAGCCTCGTCCACACTAATCCGGGGATTTTTGAAACCGCATATTTTTTTACCCGGATCCGTGTGGACCTACACTTGTCCCAGAGGTTTTTCTTGAAATTTTTCGTCGGGAAAGAGAGAGCAAGCCGCGAAGCGGACAGCCACAAAAGGGCCTGTAACCACCCTGGAGAGCGGTTTTAAAAAAGATGCGGTTTCGGTGGGTTTATCCACTGGGTTCGTGTAGACGGAAGGCTGATTCGTGTAAAAAAATACCCAGATTCGTGTGGACGAGGCCTAAGTGGACGCTTTTTCGCACGCTGCTATGTCCAACGGAGGCGAGAACGTAATTTAGTAAATATAGCTACCTCCTCAAGCCTATAATACTTGCGTTACTGTTGTCTTAAGAGTTCAAGTGTCACGCCTTCTCCCTCAAGCCTATAATACTTGCGTTACTGTTGTCTCAAAAAGTTCAACTGTCACGCGTTCTCACCATAAGTTCTTTCCTAAGTCTTTCCAACTCCAACTGTTGATGCGTTTTCTCTCGGCTGGGTGAAGTTTGAGACCATCCTTGTCTTTGCTTATCAAGCTGTTGTGTAAGACTTTCTACCTTGGCAACGGCAATGGCTAGTTCTTTTTCTTTTTCCATGAAAAGGGAACGTACACTTTCCAGTTCCTCAGCTAAAGCAAGAAGAAAAAAACAAAACACAACAAAACATCACGGTTAGAGTTTTAAATTAAAAGAGTGACAAAAGTTGCTATGGTTTTACATCATTACTCTTTCTGATTGGTTGATAAATCTCGCGCCATCTGGTTTTTTCCCCAATCGAAACCACACTCCTCTTGGGCGTATTTCCTGGGCTTTGAGGCGTCTACACATAACTGCGGCGAGCTCTGATTAGTTATGGTTTGCTAATATATTGATTAGCCAAAGTGACTGTCTTGATTTAGTCTCTGCTGAAGAGGCTGAGAACTGGCAAACAAAAACGGACGTTTGATTAAGCAAAATGTTCTCATCTCGAAGTAAAGTCACGGACTATGGAACTAAGGGTTATCGCCCAGAGTCGAACCTTGACAAAATTTCGCTTGTCTTAAATGCAAGTCTTAAATAATCTTTATGTAGGTAAACAAAAACGTGGGTTTAAATCTTCACTTGTCGCATTACGAGGAACTGTTCCCTTATAAAAACAGAAAATCGCGTCACATGAAACTACTGCAAGAGAGGCTTCATTGGAAGATCTCGCCAACAGATCCTCAAAAGCTAAAACTAATTTTCTGTCCGGTCGCCAGGGACAGTAGATTTTCTTTTTGGGCAAGTAAATTTTTCACGTTACTTGCCCAATGGGTGTTGGTGATACCCCAATAATGTCCTGGTTTAATTGATCTGCAGAAACATTCTGATACCGAAGTCTAGATAACTGTATCTTGCCAGTCTTAACCGTATCCTTTATTGGTGTTACGTGCTTCGAGGTAGGTTCCTTTACATAATTACTTTGACAACCATCATCACTATTATCACCATGGTTACTTCTGGTTACATCATGTGATTTACCTGTTTTGCCGTCATGTTTAAATTTGGTCCGAGCTCTTGAGAAATCCAGCACCGTTGGCCGTACAATAGAATCCACATTTTCGTTTCTGGTGGGTAACCCTTCTGTCTTAACTTGATGAAGAGGAAATAACTCGCTGCCTAATGCGCCTCTCGCATCTAAACCTTCGCGACTACCCTCTGTGGGCCCGACTTGTAACGGCTCCAGATTTTTAGCTTTGTGAGGTTCTTGACAATCTTCTAAAGGCAAAGCACGGCCATCCAAGTTCGCGTTTTCGTATTTCACTAGCCCGTGAGCGTCTGTAGATTTCTCGGCTTTCTTTACAACGCCAGTAAGTGCAAACATGGCGGCCTTAGGAGAAGCTGAATTGGAAGAGGCGGACGAGAAGGAGGAGAGCGACGATGGTGAGCTTAGCCCGGAGTTGTCTCCCTCGTCACTGGGCGTGGTCCGCCCTGAATTCAGCGATGGCGTTTCAGATTGAAAATCGGGTTCAATTGAAATGTGTTTCATATCTAATGAATGCGTAGCTACAGTCGAGCTCTGTTGGCGATTATCGCGTTTGGTCTTTGAATCTTTGTCATATGGCTTCGTTTCAAAGCGCGAATTACTCAAGAACTCCTTTACATAGTTATCATATCCAGGTCTTTCAGGGGAAGGTGATTCGGGTGTCTCGACTCCTTCCGGGTCCACGCGCCGCGGGGAGTTATTTAAAATCTTCCCAGGTGTAAAATTGTCTTTCGTAAAATTAGTCTGTCCATTTAATAGCCTATCGGCTGCCCTACGATGCTCTCCACGGTTTTCAACGGCGTTCGCCTCGAAGCGTGACTTGAGCGCGGTCACGCGTGACACACTTGGCGGCCCAGGCCCCTCAGTAAGATCCTCAGTCGAAGACTTGCTACTTGCGTGACCATCTGAGATTTCCTCTTCAACTTCAAGTAACGTTTCTAGCTTGCTGGAGGTTCGAGAACGGGGCCGAAAGGATGCAAGAGAGGCTTCATTGGAAGATCTCGCCAACAGATCCTCAAAAGCTAAAACTAATTTTCTGTCCGGTCGCCAGGGACAGTAGATTTTCTTTTTGGGCAAGTAAATTTTTCACGTTACTTGCCCAATGGGCAATGGTCAATGCAAGTCATCTATTAACTCAATCATTAGAAAGCTTTAGATTCTGAGGCGAGGACGACTACGAGTACTGAGTATTTGCTCACGCGTGAACCAGCGTCATTTGGCGGGAAAACTTGACAGCCGTCGTCATTCTACTACGAGCTTTAGCGAGAATGTCGTAGTGGCGGGAACAAGTTATCAAATGTATGAAGTTTTATAATTTATCGGGAGAGGGGTTAACCTCCTTCAGTGTAAATAACCGTACTAACATTTTTGGTGAAAAAAAGTAAAATGAAGCTTTCCGGGGTGTTTTTTGTTTTTGAGAACACGCGCAAAAACTTTAAGTTTAATTTCGTACTCGTATTTGTTCTGGTCCTCAAATCTAAAGCTCTCTGTTAGCTAAGGCAAGAGAGTAATGACCACGGGCAAGCAACAATGTGAGAGCTGCTTGTACAAAAGACAAGATGGGATTCAAGATTTTTTCATGCCCTGTTGGCACAGTAAATCAGACAATACAAGCATGTCAGCGTTGAAGAATCTTTTCCGACATACCCAAAGCACTATTGCTGAGTTTGTAAGAATCGACCTGATCTTGTACTTTCCGTAATGCTGTGAGTTTCTCGCCTTGTTCATCTGCTTTGGCCGTTAACTGCTGGAGGTAGGGGTTCTGGGGTCTTTTTTGTGACTTTCGCTTCATTTCCAAAAGTTGTATTTGCTTTGTCTTAAGTTCTCTTTCCTTGGTTATGATCTCTTGTTGCTGTCTTGCAGCAAATTCTTTGAGTTCATCAACAGAGATTCTACTGCCACCTAAAAGCTGAAGAAAAATAAAGGAAAAAGTATTCACTGAAATTAACGAAGGCCGTAGGGAAAATCATTCTGCCGTACAGTTGGGCTTTTTCCTCTCAGCGATTGCCTTAGGAAAAATAATGAAGAACATGGTAGCCCTCGTTCCCAAACGAAAATCTCTGCAGGACAGTCAAAGCCTATTAACCCAAAGCCCCAATATCCACTTATAAATTCTCCATACTGATGTTCATACATTTCTTTAAAGAATTAGTTGAGAGAATTTGATAACAGATCAAAGCATTTTCTCTTTACTGATCATTTTATCAACTCTCATAACCATTTCTCTTGGCAACATA